ACCATTAGGAGGTCCCCCCACAAAGGCCGTTATCGATAGCTGTGCATTCTTAAGGACTTCAATCTAAGCTGATAGAGCAGATCGAAGAGACCTCTCACGTTCATAGTTGCCGTACGTTGAGGAGTCTCTTGAGCAACGAGATCCAGCTTTGTTATCACCCACTGGCGCTAACTGAATGCACTAAGCGCAGAGGTCATAATTTCAAATAGGCCACGCAGTATAGTCGACTGAAATGCAGTCGCAATTTCATTACCCTTCGAGTGTGCTACCATTGGGCTGCTCTGCCGCGTACCTTGTTTCTGCTCATTGTCTAACGATGTTGAAAAGCCAATTAGACGATGTATGATACAATCTGTGTTGCATTTTCGAACTTGTATTGACTACCAAGCTACATAAGGTGCCAGAACAGTGCACTCCAAATTTGGGTTTGTACTTGTGGATATCTCGGTGAGTCAAGTTTTGTGCACCCATTTATATTGACATACACTTCGCTAATTTTGCTATTATCATCTCGACAATCCTAAGGAGTGTGTTAAGCGATTACTTTTTTCTGTTACATGTCATTGTTTCATAGTTCTCGTATTTACGTATTTACTCATATATTTGCTACTGTTGGGATGCGTAAGGTGGTCAATTTTAATTAAAAAACATTCGACTGATGTGTCGAGAATACAACAAGGTCGATTGCTTAAGAAAAATAACTAGACCGATTTTCACACGGTGGTACTGACTAGAAACCTACCCTACATGTTGGGTACTGTGCCAAACGGAAGGCCGATGGAGTGTGTGTGAGCGACCTGGCCAAGGGATCTCCAACCTAACTATCTGACAACTTCATATTAAGACATATTAAAATTGCAATAAACAATTTATGATAATTACACCGTAAAGCGATTTTGTTGCCTGGTGACCACTAGCTACACTGGTGTACACTCGCATACATACACTTGGTTTAAACAACCTATAAGTGGCCATCACTTGACCGGTTCAATTCGACTCCACGTCGCAATATACACTGTGCCGGTTAACGTTTGATGTCACACGGCTACGTTCAAGGATGCACCTGGCTATCCGTATAACGGGAACTAACTTGGAGACTTGCACCTCTCAATGAGCACACTTTGTTTCGTTAGCACTGTCTGATTACGAGCTCAGTAGTTGTGCGTGACCTCAAAATCAGGAAGTAATATCCGATTGACAACGAGTTGTACACCTCGGTAAGTTGGAGTGCGTGCATAGAAACGCACAGCGGGCGGTTTACCGAGGTCAGCTGGAAGGTGCACTTGCGAGAGTATGATACTGAATGATTAGCAAGTTGTATCCATCCACAGTACGGAGATCTCCGACTATGCCACAAGAGAATTGCGAAAAGCGGATAAATCACTACGTTGTTAAACGTAATGGTTCATCATTATTAAACATAGGTCTAATTCTGTTGCCACGTGGCATAACAAGAAAGGATGGAGATAGAGAGGGGTTTACTTAGTGAGTATTAAAATTTTGTGACAGGGATGAGGCATCAAGATTTATGAGGTGTCGTCGCGGAGGTTGTGTTGATTTGTGCACTATTGCGAGACTCTGTTTGATATTTCACACTAAATAACTTCAGAAAACGTAGAAGTTCACACAATACGCAACATTGTTGTATGGTATTGAAGGTGCCATGCAGTATTTCGCTTAGACCAAATCGCTTAAAGCATGGTATTAGAAACTGAGAGCCTAGAAGCGGCTTTCATTTAGGCATTAGCAAACCTAATACGCAAAGCGCTGCTCTACAACCTCGGAACTTCTCTCCGACGTACAGCACACTAGAAGATTCCATTCGCTCTCAAGTCGGATTCACAGTCTGAGTGGCAACAAAGCTGGTGCCCGCGCTTGCATTTCATCAAGGTGTTCGGTTGTTAACGCACTAATTAAATTTATCATGGACTGACTGAAATCCATTAACATTGACACCAGTACTGACAAGCATGGACACAACTGTAATCAATCCAAAGAAGAAACAGGAGAAGTACGCAAAAATCAAACAACTGTTTCAGATTTATTCTATTTGTTTATGCTATTACTCCATTATTCTATTTTTATATTGTAGAAGTACGTCGTCAAATTCCCTCTATGGCACGGAAATGTGTCCATTGTTTGGACAAAAGTAAACGGCTATCAAAACGCGTGTCACATGATCAAGTAATTGAATGCACCTGACACCGTTGAAGGAGATCAGTTCAGTTCAGTTCAGTTCAGATGGGGACTGGAACGATAGGAGAATCCCGTGAGTGTTCCATCTTGAGTGAATCGTTGAGCCAGGAATTGATGAAGTGCTCAGTTATTGATGGATCTAAAACGGAAACACCCGTATCGCACCCTGGCCAACCAGTCAATGCCCACGTTTCCTGCCCTAGCAGTCCCTGCTGTGGCAGTCACGTGAAGTAAGCAAAGGATAGGAAGAGAAATCGAAGGTACAGAATAGGGAAGTGCACTTAAATAAGAAAATAATACCAATACGTGAAGAAAAGTAGAGGAAAGAAAATCGAAGTACGAAGATGCGAGTTACTCGGTTGGCTGCTGGCCAAATTAGTTGCACCGAGTGGACGCGAAAACACGCTTTTTTCAATTTGATGTTAATTTGCCCGAGCAACTTGCGGTCTTTTATGGATCCGCTTACTGGAGACTTGGATCGAACTCAAAAGAAACTCGTCACAATGACACATTTGATACGCTCACTTTGTAACTACAACAAAACCCCTTTAAGTTGAGCACTCGAGGGAATAGATTAAAGTGATTTATATGGGGAAGTGACCAACATACAAAGGTCTTGATCCATAAGGTTTATATAGTGAACGTTCAAGCAAAGTGATCAGGAGACCCATTTTTTTGAAAACGACTCGACGATGTTTTACATCATTTACATTACTTGATCTGATTTCTGTCTAAGGGGGATCACATAATGGTGTACCAGATCCTGAGAAACCCCAACCACCCATGCCATTCCCTTCTACTACTCAGTCAAAACACCCTGCTAAGAGGTCACCAGTTTAAGTTAGTCACGCAGTACAGCCGCCTGGAATGTCGGCGAAACTATTTCTCCCTTCGAGTGACACAGCCTTGGAACGCCCTCCCGGAACATGCAATTAATGCACCCACCCTATCCCTGTTCAAAAAACGCCTTGACGATACTTTGTCACATTTACACTACGTGCTATAGCTCATGACCACCAGATGCTGTCACTAATGCACAACAGACAGTGGATAGTGCCATAACCCTACTCGAGAATGAGTCACTCCAAACCCCTGGCACGACATTTGATAAACGCTACTACTATAGAAACTGGATTTCTGTATCCTGTCGACCCAAGATAGTTGCACACGAGTAAGCGTTGTCCTTGTTAACTATATTATTTTTTTCTCACCTATTATGTGATCAATAACCACTCCCCTTATTGCTTTGTGTGCGTACATTCTCATTTCAAACTCCGTTTATACGACAGTGCAGTTAAATCTGTAATCGCCCGAACCGAAGACTCCATTATCCCTTGCTCTATCTTTTTTTCACACTAAACCCCTACGGGACATGTCAAGCGCCTGATTTTTTACCCGTTATTAATCATTGTTCATTGAGTGACGACGACACGCAGACAAACATTGTGCTCACCAACCTCACGAAATCGGGGTAGACCGATATATTATGTATTAAGGTGGATAATATGGTGAGTCCACAGATGTGTTTTTCAGTTTTATGTAATTTGAGCTAACTTTATTCCCACAAACCATCCCACGGGACTTGTCAAGCCTTTACTACTTTTAACCGTATCATACCATTGTTCCATTGTTCATTGTTCCGAATTCGGAGGTTTTAATGTTTATGTGTGATGGCCAGGGTTCCCGTAGTCCTTAGGGCAGAGATAATAAGAGAACCTGCCACTAAGGATTTAAAAACGGATCAAACCAACATACTGGCATTGGGAAAACGCTTACAGACCGAATGTAGATGTGTACTCGTATAGATTCCGAAGGAGTATTTGACAAAGTTTGCAAGAAGAGAGCACCACGATACCTTTAGGGAGATGTCTGCAGATGGGTGGACATGTTGGTGATCAAACAAGGTCTGTGGAGAATGCGTGTTGTCATAGTAAACAACCTCGATCAGACGTCTTGAGTTTGTAGATGTGTAGACACTATGGTGATTTTCAACAGACAGTATATGAAGTGTGTATTAGTTTGTTGGTCAGAAATGGCATGTGCATCAAATGAGGAGAGCGACCTAACACCCATACTGGGCAAACAACTTAACTCATTCAAATCCGTCAACTCAACCGCAGCATACCATGTTTGGAATGGAGGTATTGACGGAATAAAATGAGTTGTGATGGGGTCTTAAGCTATCAAAGATAGGAGACTAATATTTTTAACACAGTTTCGCTTTGGATAGTTTTCTGTCTTGTTAAATTGCAATGTTGCGCCCCACGAACGAGTTTGTCATTATTTAAACTTAAACAGCGGAGATAGCCGGATTAAGAAAGATACCCAGGGACGGATGGATAAACGACTGCGTTTGGATCATTAGGCCTTTGGGAACCGTGATCAACACTGTATTTATGTGATTGGAGAGTACACTCCTTGCTCTGGTGAATGTGTAAAAAGGTGTTTGTGCATGATTAAACTACTCCAACAACTGTTTCATAACAAATAATTAATTTCAAATAAAAGAAACTGTGTTTGTATGGCACGAGTAATATAGGACAAGGTCAATACCATTCGCCGGCTTAACGTCAATACAAGCAAAGTATAGCCGTATTCCGCAGGGCGGCGATGATCGCTGCAAACAAGCAGCCAATATAAAATTCGTATGCATGGTACGTTGTATTAGAATTTGGGTGACGTAATGGGACACCGCGGCTGCCCGCCATTGCAGCGGTTAGTTACTGAGGTAGAACAGCTTTGAGGAATTGACTGAATTTGCACGATACGCAAATATAAATGAAAAAAACGCGCTTCATCCTCACTTGTAGTGTATCGGAATCCACCGCAGGTTCATAAGACCCGTTGGACTTCTTGTGGGGGCTCTCTAGCTTGTCCACACCGTTGACTGTGTTTTCCGCCTCAGTAACCTTGCGCACCACTCCTGGAGTTGACGCAGGCGTGGGTTTGACGCACAGCGTCGCTAGCCCCACAGATTTCAACACCTCTGCCTCCCGATCGGTTTGTGGTTCGTAAGCAATATCGGCTGAAATACGCGCTATGTCCTCAAGCAACGCATCGTGTTGGGCAGCCAAAGGAGCATAAACCTCGTTGAGCTCTGTGAAGATTTCGTTCAAACTTTTAAGTTCTCGTTCATCTGGTACACGATCTAAATTGTAGCAACGAAACACTTTGTAGACAGGTATATATACGTTGAAACGTTACGGGATTTTTAAACAAGCAACAATCAATTTCCTCAAGTGTGACTCCTTTCCATATAACCAAGTGGGTCATACGGTAATCGGCTTCTTGGAGACTACGAGTTGAGTGACGAACACAGACCAAATGAAATCGTGAGTGCTTTTCTTTTAAAGAAATGAGCTGTAATCTAAAATATGCTGGATAAACTTCTTCGATGATGGGACATGTCGCGAGAGGAACCAGGTGTCAATTTGTCTCTTAATAAACTTGTTTGGTTCATAATTGCTATAAGAGAGAGAGGGCGAAAATGAGGACGTGTGCGGGCAAAGCGGGTGCTGACCTGGCAAGTTATGATGGTCATTGCTCTGTGTGCCGGGAACAAGCGGTCCATCACCATTTTCTCCACTAGTGCTAAGAGGAGGGATTTTCTCGAGCCTTCGAGCACGAATATCAGGAGGTTCCTTGAGTAGTATACTCATCTGTACAATGCGGGTCCGTAATCGAGTGTACTCTTCGCATCGTGTACGTCTCAATGAACCCAGCTCGCTGTACTTTTCTTGCAACTTCTGTGAAAGGGAGGCGTTGGAATATTCCATACAGATGATCAGTCAAGGCGTATGAACATTGTATAGACATATTAAATCACTATAGGTAATCATTAGACAGTATATGAGTGGCGGGCTCATTAACCTGCTGCAAAGTGGGTTTTAAATGAAAATCTCTTATGCAATCGACTTAAACCTCCAGATCAGCTTTACCATGGTGGTTAAATCTATGATAGACGCATAGTGCTTCATTGCAAACCCTGACTTTGGTTTGTATTGGAGGCAGTAAAATTGTTGAACTTGTACTATTCTAGGTAGGTTCCGTTATACATTTAGCGCTATAACAGAAACACTAAATAAAAAGACTGATCCGCCTAAATGTCCGGAGATTCACTCGACAGGCCTGAGGTTTTAGGGCCGCATAAGTCATATTTACGTGTTAAGAAGGTAAGCAGTCAACCTCGATGCGTCATTGTCCTGTGTGACTGGATGTTAATATCGCGCTCTCTCCTGGACAGGTTTCAAGCAGCTTCTGCAAAATATCCGTACTTGAAAATATGATGGTAGTATGCTTGGTGAGGGAGGAGATAGACCACAGTTTGCATTCAATGAATGCACATTCCACCGGGTGAGTTACATTTCGTGCATGGGACGGAATGCAGTACGGTCGAGGAGAATAGGATTGAAATCAAGGTCGCAAGTTTGGTTCCATGTTCCTGCTTGTAAAATAACCCATACAATTACAGCGGCACCTTTCAGCGAAGTTCTGTGAGTTCAGCTATTTGAGCGTTCAGCTCCATTACCATTTCAGGCCAACATTCCGGGCTCTTTAGTAAATTGAGCATCTAAATCAAGTTTCACCCTGTATAAGCATCTAACTCGCACTCGGTTTCAGCCCGGGTAGCGAATCGAGGAATGGATTTAAACTGCTATGTGTTAGAAAGAAAACAGTATGATAGGGAGCTATGCATATATTTTTGTGCCATCCGATCTCTGTGCTAAATCCTTACAAAGTTGGTTAATTGGGGATTGAAACCTTAGTTTATCCCGAACTTGACAATGATGTAAATGCATGCTTAACCAGAGTGAATGACACCAGTAAGATACCCATTGTGGTTCTGAATAAGAAGCTGTATTCAAACGGTTCCTCCATTTGGATGGTGGCAAGGCCCACCCACCAATTGGTCCACCCATTCTATGTAAACCTCCCAGCATATAATCGAGCTGGGTGAATGCGGACACCAAATTAGAGCTAACGGACTTCCGCGTGGTGCCTGTAACTCACGAGACAATGTTAAGCGAATGCATGCCGTCGTTGGGTCTGAGGAAACCTCCGGCTTTCGCATCCCATCTGGAAGTAATTCTTTGGATTAAGTTGGGGTAATTCGCATGTTTATGTCGATAAATTCCCCGCACTGTGAGTTATCCACGATATGTCCATAGAGTAGTATATTCCGTGGCTGTTCAGATTCAGCATCAAGTATACTTCTTCTCCATGTGTGTACGGTTCACAAATGACTTGTGGTGAGTGATGTCGGTGATGTAAAAATTGTCAATTACATTTACGACACCGAAATGGATTCTAATGCTCGGTGTAATCACTAGCAACTCGGAATTTCCTGGATAACCCAGGCCGTGTGAATCCGGTGGAGGAAGGGTCCGCGTTGGACCAGGTAGAAAAACTACTGTGGATTATGATAGCAAACCAAACCGAAAGAAACATTATAAGCCGTTGGCTGTCCGTCATTTGGCTCGCACGTTCCAGCCGCATGTGGCGCTAATCACGCACAGTGTTCAACCGGGTGGTATGCAATCAAGGTTGATAACTGAAGGAATGTGCCGGGCACGCATCACACTGCTGACGTATAGGAGCAGACGGTGAGAGAATGCGAAGCATCCTAAAGCTTGCCTGGAAAATTTCACCTTTTGAATTTGGGTGACCTGTTATTTCCTAAGGTACTTGACATTTACTGAAAATTAAAAGCGATTCGCGTTGATTGGAATATTTGATGGAAAAATGGGTTGTGTGTAACTGGAACGGTGGGCAATTGTGTTACGGATTGCAGAGTAAAACTTTTCCGTTGACATTAGTGTCCAGCTGTCATGTTAACTTGGGCGAAGAACGAATGTAGCATGTGTTCTGCTTATTCATTAGAATTGCTTAGAGGCATTTAATACATACTTACTGTTGACCTTGTTACCCTTGTACGCAGACCAGGTTACGCTAAAAGGTGCAAATCTTGGGGGTAAGGGAGTTGATCGCGCAATTCATGTAGCAAAAATGCGAAATAATACCAAAAGGTGGCGAAATATCTGAGCATCTGATTTGGTTGATTCTACGGTCTAGGTTAGACAAAAATGTTTTGTTTGCTTTCTTATGTTAACTTGATTAAACATCTCACTGTGTCATGAGGTAGTTTGTCCATGCTATTGTTGTTTCCAGGCCTACGGTTTCATTATTCGTTGAATAAGCCACCGGATCTTGCAAATGCATCTATCCGCGTGGGGACAAGATTGTTCAAGTTTGACAAAAGACGCCCCACGAGACCTACATTGGATTGCAGCAATGCCAAGTCTAGAGGCACCACCTGACAGGTGCGTGTTAGCATGTAGGATGGGCCATGCAGAAACCTAAGCAGTATCCGTAAAATGCCCTCGTGGCGAATGATTATTTTAAAATTCACATTCACGTGAGTTGATGCGTCAAACACCTGACATTGAAAACAACACGAAGTCAATGACAATTGCCAGCACCCAAGTGCCGAGTAATGCTCCTTTCCTTCTAGGTGAATGCTGCAAGTAAGTATCGAATCGAGCATTTACTGTTGGCGTTGCATCAACGCAGCACCTATGGTTTGCTAGTTTAAAATTACTCCAGTCAAATGAACTGGCCACGATTCACTAAGAAGTACGTGGCGAATCCGGCTGAGATAGCGTATCGCAATCGGTTCATACGACAACCATTTCAAATAAGGCCACATTGGTTTGATCCACCTTTCCGACAAGTAAGTTGCTGGGCTGGAGGTCGCACGGAAACCACGGAACACAAATACACCACCAGAGTACGAATCACACTGTGACAACGCGGCATAAAAACCGTGCAACTTGATCGATGCTCTTTGTTTTCTGTGTGAAGTCACAAGCCAGTTATTCCGTGGACATGGAAAGAAATCTACATACAGCCTGCAAAATATTTATTCTATCGTGTGGACCACGGAGAGTCTCATGCATACAATTGACCTTGGATACCATCAACATACCGTGGGAACAGTGAAGTGGAAATCGGACGCATTCTGTACGTATGTGATCCAAGTGTGTTTCCAAGGTTTTTTTGTATATTGGACTTGTCAGCGTGGGTTCACTAATGTCTTCTCACGTAGGCAGCAATGTTGATTTAACAGATATGACGGGTCGGCAGAATCTATAGTCCCTTATACTATTACTCAAGATACATTACAATGCGATACCAATAAAACAGTAGCAATTGATGAGGAAACCCGAGAAAACCCACTCTCACTCAAGCATATGATCATGCAATTTATGCCTGAATGCTGTTGAATCGACTGACAATCGTGACAGATTGGATAGCAAGAACTGGCGAAATATTTTTAATACATTGCTTATTCAATGTTTATTTATTTATTTCAATTTATTAAACGTAATACTAAAGAGAATAACGTGTAGGGAGTGAAATTTATCCTTAATAAGTGGCTGCTGCATGCATCAACTTCCGTCAACTCTAGTAATGAATTTCCTTGCGCGAACCAAAAGAATATAATATTTTAAAAGAAGTTTGGGTAAAGTGAAGTTAGACAGTTTATTCAAAGGGAAAAATCCGTGCACATACAAACCATAGAGGTAAACAGGTTGTAAGGGAATGATTTGGAACTTGAGAGAGTAAACTGATAGTCAGTCGACGTTTTGAGGAGTTTAAATAATATATGTATAAATATGTATATGTATATTTATCTTGGGGCGGGAGAGCCTATGGTGCGCTGAGGCTGGTAGTGGCTAGATCCTGATAGATGGTCTACCTACTGCTGCTACTGTTGTGCCATTTGCTCATGGCCTGGGCGCCTCCTCGTGGCGTCCGCTGGGTGGGAGTTGGGTTTCGCCCTTCACCCTACTAAGATCAAGGATACCAATCCGCATGAGTCAGTGAACTAACCATGTGCTAGATCCGCTGCATTCGGGTGTTCATTTAACCGAAGGCTTTGGCTGAGGGCCCGAGTCGTTCTCTTGTCAGGAGTGGGCGCCCTGCCAGGATCCTAGTCCATCCTCTTCGGAGGTTAGGAAGTGGTCGATGGCCCACTTCCGTAAAACCTAGCCATGGGAGACAACAGGTCTACGGGTTATAAGCTCACAGCGCGATTGGCGTAGAGCACGAGCGCCACGCGTTACCTCTGACGGTGGGAGGACACCTCCGGGTGTTCAATGGTTTGCTACTGCCCACCTAAAGCCAGGCAGCCCCTGGTCAAATTGGTGCAAAACCGCCAAAACTCCACCTGCGTCTGGCCGTGGTCGCAGGTGTATCCCTACTACGGTCGCAAAACATAAATAAAACGTTCCAGAACTCAAACGCTGAGTGTCACGGACGTCAAGCAGATCCCAATCTGTCTCTGCAATCACATTCCCGAGTTGGATCTGCTCCCCACTTCTTGTGGGTCAGGCTATTGAGCCAAAGTCTCCGGTCAGAGTACCTCAAGCAAACCTCCAAACCAACCACTGCTTGTGGGTCAAGCTATTGAGCCAAAGGATCCGAGTGGAGTCCCTCAAGCAAACCTCCGAAGCACAACGACCACCTCGCGTGCGATTGTCCAGCAATGCAAATGTATACCTGCGCGCAAAGCACTCAGCATCGGGTGCTGGAACGTGCGCACACTACTGGACCGAAACTCCAGCGAGCGTCCGGAGCGACGCCCTGCACTGGTCGCGATGGAGCTGGCGCGCTACAACATCGATATTGCGGCGCTCAGTGAAACCCGGCTCGCTGAGCAAGGTAAGTTGCATGAAGCAGGTGC